TTCTTATTTGCTGATTCATGGTTTGTAAAATTAAAATAGGGCTATGAATTTTTATGTCTATATTAAAGTTTTTGTTTTTATAAGTCATTGTTTTTATTTGACAGTAATTAAAATCAAGATTTTTTAAACTTGATTAGAACTCTGACAGTATGATTTTAAAAAAAAAAACTATTCTTATTTAATGAAATTTTCCGAGAATCTATCATAGTATAAAGCGACTTGACGAGTAAAATATCACTTGCCACAATGTCCAAGCGTAAATAGTGTTTGACAAATGGTAAAATGTACTAAATTTTCTGTACGTTTTCTAATTTTGACATCTGCTTACTCAACTGCCGGCATATAATATGATAATATCTGCTAATCTTGAAATTCGCTCATATCTTACACCCGACCGCGGATCGGCAAACCTGTGAGGAATACTAAATGATCAAGGAGTACTATACGAATGCTAAATGCAAGATTTCAAAATGGCCCAAAACATTTCCCATTTCGAATAAGACCAAGTTTGTCTGTCGATTTTCGTGTTGACCGTGCATTTCATACTGTGCATGTTTTTCACGTATTTGCCGTCTCTGTTAAAATGAAATATTTGTCTTGATATTCAATCAATATTTCAAGTTTGAAATGAATATTTGTGATGGTTTGGGGGGAAAATATAAAAAGGGAGAAATGCCTTTCAAGATCATCTTAATTCCTTTTAGAAATGCATTTTACTTTTTTATAAAATAAGTATTTTATGTTTTAAGTGAATATGTTTGAATTTTTGAGCAATAAGCCGTAACCAAAAGGTTAATCAAGGCGAAAACATAATCGAAAACAAAACCAAAAAGGTTAACCAACGCAGACACGTTTAGCTTTTCATTAATGAAAAAAAAATCATTTCTCGGGAGTAAATAGTTAGCTGTCATTTGGTCACGGAGGCCCCTCATACCTTTTGATATAAGTGCAAATATTGTGTTAAACAATAGCTGAAAGTAATGACATATGATATACAATCATATCAAACATCAAACACATATCATTTCCCGGGCAAACCTAATTCCCTTAAGATGCAACTCTTTAAGTGTTTGCATTTGGAAACCCAAAAAAGGAAAATGTAAAAACCCAAATTAATCATTTTTAACGCCCCCCGCGGGGGGTTTTACATTTTTGGGGAAGATAGATAAAAACCGCATGACTTTTAATTAAATTAAATTAAAATCAGCCCCTTTACAAAAAACCCAAAGATTTTTAACTTTTATCATGTTTGGAAAACTGGACATTTAGCCCTTTTTAAAATTTAAATGCTTTGGCCCTGGGGTTTATAACAAACTATTTGGCAAAACCCAAAGAACCAAAAATTAAATGAACTTTATTCAAACTTTTAAAGTTTTAATTTTTTCTTTCAGCATCGTTTAATTGTTATTATTTGGTTTACTGTATGAAAATTTTGGGTCTTTGGGCCCCGGATCAGGGGGTTTTTGAGTCCCTATATTTTCCTTGAATATTTAAAAGTTGTTAAAGATTTTGGGGTTGAGGAAAATTTCAATTTCATTGATAAAATAGAAAAAAAAAAACCCCAAAGAAAGGGGGCCAAAACGGAAAAATTTGAAAATTTTGGGCAGGTTCCTTTGAAAACCCCCAAATTTAAACACTGTCCCGGTAATCCCCCCACGGAAATCGTTTACTGTGTCTTAAGGGGTGAACCGGGGTTTTCCCCTTTGGGTTTTTGCGGGAAAAAAATAAAATTTGCGTTTACACATCCCCGACCAAGGTATTCCCGGTTCAGAACCCGATTTTAGCACCGGCCCGGAAGCAAACCCGGTTATTCCCGGGGGGATTCCGGGGGAAAACCCGACAAAAAGGGGTTTTTCATCAGGGTCCATCCCGAAAAATCGCCTTTTTCCCCTATTGGTGATCCCGGGTACTGTCCGGGTGGACCCCCTTGGTTTATGCCACCGATGCTTCCTGTTCAAGTTTATGAGAATTAAACTGACTGACCACGTTGACATCAGTCATTTGGTAAAGAGACAGCAGAGATGCCATCCGAAGGAAAGGGGATGGAAGTTAGAAAAAAAACTGTGTCTACAACACCTTCAGAGGTTGAGGAACCTGAAGCTGAAAATGCACTAGCTGAAGAATTTTTCCTTCTCTCATTTAACAAATTGTCCATGCTCGTGTTCCTTCTCTAAACAAAATGATCCAAAGTAGCACTTCAAGTTTATATATTCCTATTGATTAAATTTCCTGTATCGGCATGAGGTCGTTACACCACCGTCTATTATCGTTGTATAACCGTACTTGTCTGCAATATCCGGGACATTACCGGAGCGTTGTTGCCAGTGACCTCAATGTACCCTGGCTCTACCGTAGCTCTGCCTGTTTTACCGTGGCAACATCGTGTCATCACCGGGACTTTGCCGTTTGGACATTGATTGACACGCATCCCGGTTTACTACGATTTGTCACGGTATGGATGCAGTATAGATACGGTGGTTTCCCGGCAATTCCCTGTTCCAAGCCGATAGAACACGGATTTGGGCTTCCTCTCGGTGAGTGCCGGTGAGCCCCGGTTGTATTAAACATTTGAATACAACCGTGGTGATCTCTCAGCTTGTTCCGGTTAACCATGGTTTGTCCCTTTACTTCACGGAATTTCAACGACCCAACGCCGGTTTACCACGGTTGATCATGGTTGACTAAACCGTGGCAAACCGGGACACCAAACCGGGACTGTGTAAATGGGGCTTAAACCGCCCTAGTATGACTGTATTTCTATTTGTACTAGCAAGAAAAAAAGGTCTTCAAATCAATTAAATTACTTAAACCGAATTCTGATCGCGAGAATATCATTATACTTTTAAGATGTTGTCAATCAGGGTTATAAATGAAAAAGGGAGACAAAAGAAAAATACTTATCTATTGAGACTTGAATTTCAATTGTATCTTTCTAGAATACGCTTTCTAGCGTCAATATTACATTATATAGCAGCTCAAATCCTCGATATTTAGGTTCATAAAAGAAAACAATTAAAACAAAGATACTTTTTGTTAAATGGCAATTACAGTAAAAATAACTATGAGAGCGTTTTAAATTAAAATACTTCTACTTTTAATCATGAATTTAACATGAATTTATATCTTGCGACATTTAACGGTAGTGTTGCGACATTTAACGGTAGCGGAAGTTCGTGCGACATTTAACGTCTACATTGCGACATTTAAGGTAGACCATGGGTAATGGGCACCATAAGGAAAAGTAAAATTGACAACATAGAACAGTTGTATGTCTTCAAGGTAACCTGCATGCAAAATTTAAATAAACTTTACTGTGTGGTTTATGAGTTATGCATATATTTCTGAACTACGACTTTGCCATTAGAAGGGCTTATTTTCAGAAATGAGGAAACTCCAAATAATCTGTAATATCATCATTATAAAAAATGTTTTTCTATTGCTCATTGTTAAGAAACAAATAATAACATTCAGGTAACAAATTACACAAGGAAAATGTTTGTTTCTAAACAAAATGTTCTTAATATGTATAAAAATGTTACCCTACCCCACCCACTTTAAACACTTATTTTACCATTTCCCTATCTAAAATGCCTTATTCAAAATATCCCTTAAATTTACCATAATGAGGGGCTGTTTTCAAAGTTTGCCTAAATTTTCTTCAAGGTATATTGGTTGATCATGCGAAATATAAAATACTTTTACCGTGTAGTTGTTATTTTATTAAACTTTGAAAATATCTGGTATCATATTTGCTATAAATTTTGGCATTATTTAGCAAAAAAATACCTTCAATAATTATATAATTTAGGTCAAACCCTTTTTTTTCCATAAGGGATCAGAGAGATACATAAATAATGTTAAAAAGAAAAAAAGAAAGAAAAAAAAGTTGCCACTTCTGGGGTTTGAAGCCATGCCCCTCAATTTCAATGTAGTTGACAAGTGATTCTAGCCTATTTGAATACTCTTCAAAGTGGAGGTAATGCATTACCCATGGTCTGTCTACCTTAACGGCAAATGATTTTGCGACATTTAGCGGCAGTTGCGACATTTAGCGGTATTGGTGCGACATTTAAGCCGGGGAAGTTTCCGGGCATTTTTGCGGGGTTGCCCACCCTATAAAGGCGCCCAAACTGTACTTAACTTTTTTATTTTTGCTTTAAATTAAAAGACCCCAAACTGCATGTTTTAATCTTTCTTTTTTAAATTGTTTTAAAAAATCTAAACCCTGCATTTATTTATAATTTAAAACCCTCATTAAAAAATTTTTAACATTTTTAAAAAGGAAAAAAGTAAAAGAAAATAAATAAATAAAAAATTTTTGATGGGTTTTTGAGGCACACTATTTCATTTTTAAAACTGCATCCTCCCGATGAAACCCAAAAACATTTTAAAAAAATCCCCCAAAACTTTTTAGAAAAAATTTTTAAATTAGGGTTTTAAGAAAAAGAAAAAATTCAAATATTAAAATTTTGGGATTAATTTGTATTTTTGAAAGAAAATTTTATGACGGATTTTGCAGTATTTATCACCATATTTCTTCTGCGTGATTAATGCAAGAAGGGCTATTATTTTTTGCATATTTTGATCTCTTTTTTTGTTATTTTTTTTGTGTGGATTGCAAGTGCCGTTGCAATGTGTAAATTCTTGCTTTGTTTACTAATTTTGAAATTTTCATAAAATATAGCCTGTATCTGGAAGCATGCTTTAAATGTTGCTCATTTGCAAATTCTGATAACACGCATTAATATTATTCAAGTCATGATTTTAAAAAAATCTAAATATGTCTTATTGCTATGAATTACAAAAAATGTTTTGCTCATGTTGTACGAGTATTCGCGCGTCTCAAGATCTGCCCGGCAGACGATAAGTAAGTTTCTCACATTATTTTCCATGTCAGTTCGAGCATTTTTACTCAGGCACTTTAAGTGCAGACTCGGATGAATCACTGAAAACATATCGAAAAACATCTTTATCTTTCCGCTTACAGAGAAAAAGAGTTCAGCTTATTGGCACATTTTATCTCGTTCTATACAGGAAAATATTTGCTGATAAGCCAATGTAACCAGACGAAAATTTTCACGTGAGTAAGAAAGAAATAAAAGTTGGTTAAAACATTTTACAAGTGTTATTTTATTAAACTGCCTTATCAAACTAGATGTTAACGTCGGCGTTCATTGAAAAGTTGGCATAGTGGAGAAAATTTGTATCAAGATCGAAGACTTATCATTTGCGCGAGAAAATCGCAATAGTACATCTACTGTTGGTATAACTCGGCGATTCGTGGAGTATATTTAATGGTTCTGGGGTGCCATGTTTCGTACTGATACAATCTCAGTTGATGATTACTCCACGTGCTCCTTATTGTTGATTCTCGTCTGCAACTAATATAAAACATTGTCGTCTGCTGCTAATTGTACCTCTCGTGCATAGAATGATAGTAATTCTCTGGTATTCTATCCTTTCGTTACCCAGTGAAATCAAGCAGAAAAAATAAGCTGGAAAACCTGCAGTTAGTTTATTCGTATAATTATAATAAGTGGATTTACATGTGTTAAGATGAAATAAAGGGATTTATATAACTGATTTTTTTTTACGGATTTAGTATTAATTCATTAATATAATAGATATTCTAATGAACTGATATATAACTATGAATAGAAGCCGGCGGATGTCGGTTGACTTATCTGCTGTCAACGGAAGCCAGAGCCGACGATCATCAATAGATTATAGTGCAGGAATTGATCAGTTTTCAAGACGCCCCTCTGTTGATTTCACGAACCTTGGACTACCCCTAAATCTACCAAAAAGTCCCTCTACAGATTTTAACGAGTTACGGAGCCCAACAGGACCGCCAAGCAGACGACCCTCAGTTGACTTTAGCGCGGGAGCCGGAAATACGGTAACATAAACTGCTTTAACACTTTCAATCTCAATTTGTACATGTATCACTTTTTTGTAAATCCTGAATTTGTAGTTCAAATAGAACACCCATTTCGTATATTTTACAAAAAGACAACCTGATATAATAGAAGTTTCTTACGCTCCTACCTTGAAACATTTTTCTATGTTGCATCTTACAAGATCTAAAACATAACATCAATCATATATAATCATTTCTTTTCAAACAAATTGCGAAACTGCGTTTATAGAGATTAAAAGATGCATGAAACAATACATAGATTGTATTCCAACATAATGATATAGTTGTTAAGCTATGGGTTCTTTGATGATAACTAGTACATGTACATATATTCACAGACTTTCCAATTCAAGTTAAAAAGATAGGAGCGCAAGAAACAAACCCCTTCCCTGTCTATAGAATGTCCCCGGAATATTCCCGGACCTCACCGACCTCCTATATACCGTGTTGTTGTAAAGCTTATGATAGTACTTAACATCTACAGCTAACTTTAATTGTCAATGGTATTTCTTAAATTGCTACAGAAAACATAGTTTCAATATTTGACTGCACAGATTTAATTATAAAATTACGGAAGGCGGGTGGTGACATTTCTTAATCTCCACGAATTCACGATTTCAACTTCATAAATTCAAGACTTAAACATACAGAATTCACGAAATCACGATTTCAACTTTTCAAATTCATGAATACAAGATTTAACTTCATGAATTCACGATTTCAACTTCACGAATTCACGATTTCAACTTCATGAGTTCCAGATTTCAACTGTATGAATTTATAATTTAACGAATTCAACTTTATGAATTCATGTTTTGAACTTCACGAATTCACGATTTCAACTTCGTGAAGATGAAATAGTGAATTCGTGAAGTTGAAATTTTATACAGTCTTATACACTATCGCGTTAATAAAAAAAACTTCTTTCTTTATTATATACACATTAAGCGGGGTTTATTTTAATCTTTAAATGAGATTTGATTAAGTTCAATTCATGTCACACTCATTGTTGCTTTTCTTCTTGTATTTACACTTTTCTAATACAATACACATGTACAATCATTTTATAAAAGAGAAACAGTAAATAGTTGGCGGTTTATATGATGATAATGATAACAACTTTCTAATGCAATGCTATAATACATATATGTTGTTTGTAGGTATGTATGATGATAAATGATGTTTATATCCAATGTTCAAAGGTGATGGATTATCAGATTCTGTGATACATCAGCTTATCACAGACCATATACATATGATAACATCGTCATGAAAGCCCCTTTATATGATTAGAGATATCAGAACGAACAGTAATCTGCCTCCCCCGCCCCGTTTTGTTTTCTATCTCCCGTTTCAATTACTGGACAACAGTCCGTTCAAACGTTAAAATAATACATTGTAATAAAAGTAATAATAATAATAATAATAATAATAATAATAATAATAATAATAATAATGATAATGATAATAATAATGATAATGATAATGATAATGATAATGATAATAATAATAATGATAATGATAATAAAGACTTTATTTCATGAGAGCATTTATTTGAACAACATTAGATACAGAAAATGGTAACAACAATTTTACTAAGAAACGAATTCTGCATACTTAATAAACCGTTATAATGATTTCAAAATAACATGGAATCCGTTCCATATTCCATGTTCATGAAATGCCCTGAAAACTCGTTTTTTTTTCAATATATAACGTCTCAGTATCAATTTATCGAGAAAAGAATTGCATTACTTTATAGATTATGTTTTTTTAAACTGATCTGCAATCTGTCCACCTAAAATAAATTGAATAAACATACACTTCTGAATGCAGCAAAATTCTGAAGTATTGGGCGGATTGTCTTTGATTCCGAAACCATTATTAACTTTTTGCTCTTACATAAAATCAGTTTTGTTCCAAAGACAATTAACTATTGTTTTATGTAAGAAAGTTACATCAGTAAAGCTTTATGGGGAGAAAGTTTGGCAGTTTTTCATAAGTTTGTAGTGGATGCTATATTTTCTCCTTTAATAACACTTTCCGTGTAATTGAAGCGACAATGCTAGTCTAATTCCGGATTTACGAGTCTTATCATCTAATTCATTTCACATATAAAATATATCCGACGACAAAAATAAACAAGACAAGTTGAGTACCCATTCAACAGATAGTTATGTGAGTACGTCATAGCCACTTTGTTTAGGTCCCATAGAGAATTATATAGGCTGTACGAAGACGTTTGCCAAACCATCAAACTTCTCATATATAAGATATACGTACTTTAGTCATCAAATAAAACAGATGTTTAGCTTACCATGACTTTGTCCTAATAGCGATTTAGTCTCGTTTTTTCTGTTTCACCCATTGACATTTTTATGAAACTGAAAATGGAAACAAAATGCACAAAATGCCTTTATGTGCATTTGTTTCTAGTGTTGCAATGACCTTGTGGACTAAGTATGGGAAAATTCATAAGCAAAATAATGGTTGACTGAAAACGGACAAGTTTATTTTGCTAAAAAAAACATAACAATTATATTATTATTACATTTCCAATATTTTCCCATATCTGGGTGAAAAAAATCATTTATCGTTCAATTTAATTTTGTAGATGGGCCTCTATTTGTCTTTATTTTAAACACTTTTCTTACCAAACAAAAAAAAGCCTGATTTAGAAATTATACATTTGAAAAACTCTTGTAATAGCTATTACAATGACTGTTTCTGAAAATAAAACAAAAGAGTTATTCTAGTATAAGAATAAGTTGGAAGCGAATTTTGGCAAATGAAAAGGCTCAAATTGACAAGAAACAATGTTATTGTTAAACTTGTTACATAAGTTGTTCTGATACATACAAGTACAGATGGTTTGTATGTGATATTCTTAGAAAGAAACTGAATGTTGAAACAGTACGTCGGTTTTCATTCCTATTAATTTTACAATAAAATACATACACTTTATCCCATGACTTATAACAAGAAAACGATATGGTTCGTTTGTCACGCAACTAATCACCTTTTCATGCCGCCATCGTTTCATATTGCATGTGTCCTAGACCAACAATAACGCGCAATTCGATGCCATTTAAGTAAATAAGAACTAAACCATTTAAAATCATTTTGGCGTTTCATTAATAATACTTAAACATCATTTGAGCTCATTCCATCAGAAAACAACACTTCTATATTAATTATATTTGTTTCTAACGCGGATGAATCCTTTCATCTTTTTTAGTTTAATAATTTTAATTGTATAAATACACACAATATCACGACTTTACAAACATACATAATCAAGTACATACAAAATTGTTTGGCCAAAAGTACTAACAACGCTATCGTGGGCCCTTTAATCTAGACAGAATATATACTATCCGCAGCAATTAATTCTATAAAGTAAAATAAGAACAGAAGCGAAGTTTGACATAGTCACTGTGAGGGGAACGCCAGAATGTAGAATAGAGAAGCTTCACATAAAAAAATAGTTCTTCAAGTGAGAACTGAAAGTATTTATATGTGGTAATAATAAGTAATCTTGTAAAATACAACATCGCCTTCCATTGGCACATTTATTTCGTTGATTTCATATTAATAAATATTGATATATCAGGAATAATTGATATATCAGGAATAATTGACTGATTTTCAAATGTTAGTAGTTTTTTTTTTCAAAATACAACAACTCTAAACGCCCACACCCAATTTAATTTTGTTGTCATATAAACAATTTAACATTAAATAGGGGTTTGTACATTTGTTTAGACTGGAGAATAAATTATAGAACTACCAAGGTCGAAATACGATTTTGTTGGTTGCAAATATTTCATGAAAATGATCAAATTCACCAAAAATAATGGAACCACCATCACCCACATCAAGATCAGAGCCTGATTTCAATGTAGGCACTGATTTTGCTAAGAGATGAGCATTGAGTGGTCTCGGGTCGTCTTGAAAAACTGTTTTTTTAGACCTTATCTAAACATTTTTACCTGTGATTTTTTTCTCTTGATCTTAAGATTATAAGGGATTTTTTCAGATAAGATTTGGCAGACTTTGTTATACAAGTTTGAACATTTGAGAAAGTTATTATTAGTGTTGAGTTACAAGTGTCAAACATACATGAACGAACAGATAGATGATTTACGTCATCGTCGCAGCTGTTTCAAAATGTTTGTAATATATAATAAGGTAAAAATTTATTGGTGCTTTTAGATACTAATTGTGTCACAAAAACGAAACTAAACGGATAGATAAGGGATATGATCTATATTCATAAACGATAAATTGATGTACATACTAGATAATTATAACAAACAATTCGTATAATGCTGTCTTGACATTTAGCAAAATTTGAATGAAAATAAGACTTACTAATGCTTTTCGGATGGGTTACTGAATACAAAAAAAAACGACGACAACAATATTATGTATTTGTGTTCGTGCTGTATACCTATACATAATGTAATAGTCAATTAAGTTATAAGTATAATTACTAACAGACAATGGCTATTACATTAATGGTTCACCCTAGAGTAACCTGCAGTTAGACATGATTCTAGCTCTCATTACTAACATATGTTTCATGGCCATGACATATTGCTCTAGAAACATTCTACTGCTCGGATTAGTTTGAATCAACCTACCTGACTGAGCTAAGACAGTGATGCGTCACGTGACAACACTTGTGGTATATACTAGTATATACTAGTATATATGATATATGTATATGTTCACACCGTTCAATCAAATGGGCAGACAGCTGTTCCAGCGTCCACAGCTGTACCAGTATATACATGTCGGCGCGGGGAATACAATTGACGTACGGTTAGTATTCATCTATTTTTAACATATCCAAACTGTGTCCGAGTAAATCAATGTTATGGATTCATAGTCAACATCTAAAGAAGCATGCTAACAAATTTCTGGCCCTGTGAAAGCTTTACTTCACATGAATTTTGACTGAAAATAACCACACT